CAGTATAAATGAGTGTCCTTGTCTCCAGGGCCTCTAAAGTTGTTTTAGCCCGACTATTGTAACTTTGTTCTTGCCTGAAACAACTTTAGAGGGTAATGAGTCATTAGCTTTTTACTTGTAATGCCACAAGAAAGTGTTATTTGGTAGGTAGTAGGTTAGTCTCCATCACTTGTCACTTCAATGGCAAGCACAAGGCTTGCATTTTGGCTGAGAATGCCTCAATTTGCTTCTGGGCTTGGTGCTGGGCTTCGGGCAAGTCTCCTTGAATTAGGTATTATTGGGCTTTTATTCATCTAAATCCAATGTTCAAATATCAACCCAAACACATTCTCCCATAACATCGTACCACCATATGTTATTCCCAAGCTAATCGCAACGCAATAAAACATGCAAATGGGAACAAAAATCCCCATGAATTTGAATTTTGGCTAAAAGACACCCTTTTCATTGGTGTCTGTTATAAAGAAAGGACCCTAACATTGATGGCAAACCTCAATTGCCACCAAATAAGATAACATGTCCTATAAAAAAAAGTCTCTATTGTGACAATCACCACCGTTTAATTATGGCACAATGAATAGTTACCTCTTGAATATTTAATACTTGTTATTTATCGATGCCAATTCAGCATCGTGTCGAAGTTGTAATATGCTTTAAAAAAAAAAGGCCCAGTAATCTGGGCACCCAAATTATAATTTCATTCCCATTGATGATTATAAATCTTTTTATTTTTTATTTTTTATAATACTCTATTATTGATACAAAATGGGGTCTCTTTCCAATGAATGGTAATATCAAATGTAGAAGCACAGTGGTTATGCAAAGTATTCTAATATACAATAAAATTATCCCATCCCAATTTCATTCTTCAACATTGATTTAGCGATATCCTGCAAAAATAATAAAAACCATCATTAGAATACAAGACACTTCGACACAACAGACAGTTAAAAGTTAGAAAATGGGGAAGGAGTGCAATAACACCATAGTATTACAATAAACCATGAATGCCTAAACAAGAAATCATCTACTTATATAAGAATTGAATTTCACTAATTCACTTGGGTCGGTACTTAGATTATTCAGTCCAAAGTCTCCGTGATATGTCCTGGAAATGGTTGGAAGCCAACAACAATTTAATCTGAATTTGCCAAGAAAATAAATTACCTCAAGGAAACCTCTTGTGGCGGAAATGGTCCAAAGCTATTCTAAATGCCAACACAATAATAATTAAGAAGCAATTCAACATTTATTAGTAACCCTCAAGAATACAAAAGAAATTCTGAAACTTAAGAAAATTTTCACAACTTGATATTATATTAATGACTACAGTTTGCAAATTGTAGGGAAATCAAACTTTGTTGCACAATGCTCCTTGCTCATGTCTATCATTATACACGATCAAACTACTCCAACATGCAAGAAAATGCAAATAACTTCATCCATGCTTGTAGAATTAAAACAAGGCACAAAAAGAACCAAAATATACAATATATTCCCAGCATAATCAAACTTACTTGCAGAAAGCTCTTTGCTCAGTGTGTTCTGCACAACAGAGGGGCAAAATAAGTTAGCAACCAACAAGAAAACATAATAAAGGGAAAAATTATACGATATACTTGAAAAAAATTTCACCGCCACCATCGTCATAAGCAAGAGCAATCACATTAAATTCAAGCCCAAACACCTGGAATAAAAATAACAAGACTAAGTTAAATTATTATTATTACTATTATTGATAAAGATGACTAATTTAATATGGACTAGCATTTGCCAAACCAAGCTATTAGGAATCCTTTGAAAAAAGAAATGGTGTGCTTTGATTTTTACAGTAACACTCGTAAAATTGATCAGAGGTATCCAAATTGTAAAAATAATATCTACATTTCCTTGGTTTGTTTTGCAAAAGACGAAATAGAGCCCCTACATAATTATTTTTCTGAAGTTTAGTTTGTAGAAATCCGCACTGAGGAACTTAACTAATAACTGTAGGGTTTAATGACCCCAATGAGGAATTCTTGGTAACCTGATACATGTGTGTTTGTGTGTGTGTATATATATATATATATCAAACTGGGGAACTAAAGCACAAATAAGTATACACAAAAATCCTTAAAATCTCCAAATAAGTACAAAGTAATACATTAAAAGAAAATTTCTCTATATAATGAATACAGAGAAACCTTAGCTGAAATTTTAAATACAGAACCTGCATTCAGATTAAAACACCACATCTAAGCCAAACACCGGACTTGCAATACCAAAACACCAAATTTTGACAATGGTGACGGTCAAATTTACAAAGCCACTGATGAAGAAGGGTGTCCTCAAAACGGTGCCCTATAGCACATCTTCTAGTAGTGGCGCACAATCGTCTGATGATATTATATCCACTTCCAACTGCTCAAAGGTTGACTTCCAACAACACTGATATTATCCCCAACTTCGTAAACTTGGTAATTACCAAGTTCACAATCCATCAAGTGTGGGGTGGGGTTTTATCACAAAAAGTCTCGGTATTAGTTAGAAGTGGGGTTAGAATATTTAAACTTTTCTTTTTTCAGAGATACGGTCGGAAATCACCATCCAGATTTTTGGGCTGTGATAATTGGGTTACAATTAAACATGCCAACTCTTGTTTTTTTTCCTTTTTACAATTTGGGAAACCCTAAATTAATCCTACCACTAGTTACCTAAGAAGATGCATATTATATAATGTAGATATGAATTGGCTTTTAGTGACTTACTTGCATGTAGTCCTTGAGAGCAACATTGAAAGACAAACTTTGGCCCTGTATTCAGAAGATGTTGACACAGGTAGCTACTAATGCGATTACAAAAATCTCATTAATCATCAAAGTAATTATATAACCCCCACAGCCTTTTTCCTTGTTTAATTAATTAATTGATTAAATTAGCTTAGGGCTACATTGATGCTGCAAAAAGGCCATCTGCGACAGTACAGACTGTGGAGTTGTTCCAGCCAATTGGTCCGTCCTTTTCATACGTGTCAGTCCTAATTTCTGGTGTGCTTCCATTCCATGACATTTTCCTCAGTTGGAATGCACTTAAAAATGTGAACACTTTGTCAGCAATGAGCTTCTAATGCAGCCTCTTAATTAGTTCCTAATCGATTAACTTTATAACTGATAACTTGATGCAAATAAGAACACCTTCACTTCCATACATAAAACACACACACATGAAGACTTGAAGTGTTCTAGCTCTTTGTTTCCAATAATTTTCTTTTAAACATGTAAATAATTTTATTAATAATTGGTAAAAGACAACCCCACCATCCATTTTCTCTCTTTTTTTCCCTTTTTCTCCTTTTTCCCTTTTCTCTCTTACAAATTGAGTATCTTGTACATAGAAATATTATCTGATCCACCAACTATCTCACATCTTACAAAATGGAATCATGCTCTTGAAAGTTTTCACATATCCTATAACAATATTTTAGTTGGGATGTAATATTTCTCGTGGTCCATGAGGGTTCATTTTCTAATTTTATTTGTTGTACAACCAATAATTTTAATGATTTCCAAACCAATGGCTGATTTGGATTTACATAGAGAGAATAAGAATTAGAGTCATTCAAAATTCTTGAGTTTTATGCGTTTATATATATGAGTATGATTCATTTTACTTATTAACTATTCTCCATATTTAATAGAGTTTATGTACTTAAAAAAAAAAAAAAAAAAAAAAAGCTCTTCTGCACTGAAAATCCTATCTATTTTATGTTCTAAAATCCTATTTATTTGAGTGATATGTGTCATTTTGACTTAATTTATGTTTAGCTTTTAATTTTTATAGAGAACATAAGTTAAAATCCGTAATCAAATACATAAAAATCAGGAACAGATAACTAGGAAGTTTGATACCCTTTCTTTAATTCCTCTATTTTAATTTTGAAGTCATTCTTCCATTGTTGTTAAGTTAACATATCCAAGGATAAAAAGCACCTTCCACTGAAAGAAGTGTAATTACCCATAATCACAATTAATTTAATTGCCATATGCACATATAAATGAAGTTCCATATCTGATGTAGACTTTTTGGTTGATACTTGTCTCTCCCTTACAGGCTGAAGTGGCCGATCCAGTCGTCGTCATCTCATCATTCCATTCACGTTCTGTCCCTCTGTTGTATGCATTAGGATTCCACATATTAATTGCAAATCTCGTGTTATCTCTTGCACATGGATTTTCACCATCTTGAGCCCCAAAAAACCATATATTCTCTATATATTATTTTGCCATTAAAACCATTTTGTCTGCACAAATACACACATATGGACATATAGTCAAATACATTGTCCTATAAATAAAACACATACTTCTTTAGAGAATGTAATTAGATTATGAGATTATTATTGCTTTAAACCTCAAGAGTAATGTTATTCTTACCATAATTTTATACCACATTTCTTTACCATCTTAGGTGGCAGATGAGTTGGACAAGCTACATCATTTAATTTTAATCTTTTTATTAATTAAAATACTTAAATAATCTTGGTGGAAGAATGAGACTCCTCGTATACCATAATCATCATTTAATTAACAATATTTTTATTAATTATTGATTAACATTTTGATTAAATGCTAATTAATTTAGATGATGCGTCTGTCCAACTCATTTGCCACCTAAGATGGTAAAGAAATATGGTATAAAATTGTGGTAAGAATAACATTATTGCACCTCAAAACCCTAGTTATGTATTTTGTTGCTAGGTATTAATATAGATGCATGTGTGATGTGTGGGGTCAGCAGATCTTCATGGAGCTTCAATTGTATGCAGCCCTAGATATCTTGCACAAAAATCAGAATCTTAATCTCGGTATCTTTGTCCGGCAATCAAACTTAACCACTCTTAGATCTCTTCAAATAATAATTTTTACAAGCATTTTAATTTCAAGCGTAATTCGGGATTTAGGGTTTGCTCAGCAAGGATTTGACTTGTCATAGGTTGGGAAGTACATTGGGATTTGGAGAGAGAGTGAGAGAGAGAAACCTAACCATATATTCTGACTAATCTTAATCAGATCTTAGAAAGATTAAGAGAGAGAAGAAAGCCTTGAGAGCATAGCATAAAATTATTGACAGTTGTTGGGTACATGTAGGTGATGAGATTAAAACTACTTTATGTATGTAAAAGGCCAGCTTTGATGTATATCTTGCCTATGTCACAGAATCAATGATTGATTCTTCTTCTTTTTGTTTTCTCAATATACAGAACAGGCAAGTTGAGAGTACCATTTTTGTTTATTATTGTTTTATGCCATTGCTCTCCAAAGCGTTCCTATATATAAAAGTGGGTGATTTCAAAGGTTTTTCATTCAAACAATTCTCATACAACTCTTTTCTCTCTCTATCTGAGTCACACCTACAGCTTTCTTGAAGGCCAAAGTGCTTTTACAAGAAACCTAGTTATGGCTATAGATATTGAGCAGCAGAAGCAGCCTTCTCCTAGGCTATCAAAAATAGCTGTTTCTGATCATACTCATGGAGAAGACTCTCCATACTTTGCAGGATGGAAAACTTATGATGAAAACCCTTATCATGAGTCAAGCAACCCATCTGGAGTCATACAAATGGGACTTGCAGAAAATCAAGTGTGTGCTTCTCTTGATCGTACTACGATCATTTGGTTAACAAAATCCAGAAGAAAATTTCAGATTTTTAAAATTTTTAGAATTTTCATCTAATTTTAACTTTATTTTGTTGAACAGGTTTCGTTTGATCTGTTGGAAAACCACTTGGAAGAAAATTGCGAAGCCTCCACCTGGGGTTCAAAGGGATCAAAAGGAGTGTCTGGCTTTAGAGAAAATGCCTTATTTCAAGACTACCATGGCCTTTTGTCTTTCAGAAAGGCAATGGCAAGTTTTATGGAACAAATTAGAGGAGGAAGAGCCAAATTTGATCCTGCTAGGGTAGTCTTAACGGCGGGTGCAACTGCAGCAAATGAGCTATTGACTTTCGTCATAGCTGATCCAGGTGATGCTTTGCTTGTTCCAACCCCATATTATCCAGGGTAAGAATACTCCTCCATCACTCAAACTTACTGACCTTGGAAGTTAAATGTTATCTTGTCAGACAGTCTCGCATGTCTTCCTTTTCAAAGTGTTTATACGTCAGATTGAGTCTGGACATAACATGCCAACTGGTGTCTGACAAGAGAATGCTATCATTTGGAAGTTATATTATTTCATGCAATTTTTCTGTGACTTTTTTACGTACTGATCATCAAAAACTAATGTCAACTTAAATTTTCTTCTCCAGGTTTGATAGAGATTTGAGGTGGAGGACTGGTGTGAACATTGTGCCAATTCACTGTGAAAGCTCAAACAACTTCCAGATTACTCCTCAAGCTTTAGAAGCTGCATACAAAGAGGCAGAAGCCAAGAACATGAGAGTGAGAGGGGTACTATTCACAAATCCATCAAACCCACTTGGTGCAACAATCCAAAGGACAGTCCTTGAAGAGATTCTTGATTTCGTCACCCAAAAAAACATCCATCTTGTCTCTGATGAAATCTACTCGGGATCTGCCTTCTCATCCTCCGAATTCATTAGTGTGGCAGAAATTCTTGAAGACAGGCAGTACAAGGATGCAGAAAGAGTCCACATTGTTTATAGTCTATCCAAAGATCTTGGCCTTCCAGGCTTTCGAGTTGGTACTGTGTACTCTTACAATGACAAGGTTGTGACAACAGCAAGAAGAATGTCTAGCTTCACCTTGATATCTTCTCAAACACAACATCTCTTGGCTTCCATGTTATCTGACAAGGAATTCACGGGAAACTACATAAATACAAATAGAGAGAGACTGAGGAGGAGATATGATATGATCGTCGAGGGTTTGAAAAAATCGGGGATTGAGTGTTTGAAAGGAAATGCTGGGTTGTTTTGCTGGATGAATTTAAGTCCATTTTTGGACGAACCAACAAGAGAATGTGAACTAACTCTTTGGGATTCCATGCTGCATGAAGTGAAGCTAAATATATCTCCAGGTTCTTCTTGTCATTGCTCTGAGCCAGGCTGGTTTAGGGTGTGCTTTGCCAACATGAGTGAGCAGACACTTGGGGTTGCATTAACAAGAATACATAATTTCATGGAAAAGAGAGAGCGGGCTTGCTAGAATAAAGTTTCCTCTCTTTTATCTTCTTTTTTTCATTGGTGTTAACCATTTTTTATTCTTTTGGAGGACAAAACCCAATTTACTCTTTCTGAATTGTAACAACTCCATCTTGTTTTCTTGCTTGAAAAAGCAAATTATTACACATTCAGTTTGTATAATCGATGGATATAATATTTGTTTTGGCGTTCTACTAATTTTACCTTTGACTTGTCTTGCAATGAACCGTGAAAGACTTAAGCATTAACGTATAAATGTTGGGATAACGTACATTAATGAAGAACCAGAAAACGAAACAGATGGATTACAAATTCTTCTTCTTATTATTATACCCCAACATGTATATGTAATAAACCAAATTGTTAACTTTCCAGCTAATTCATATATAATCACTTCGAACCCTTATTGTATATATGAGGTAGAATTTCCAACCTTCGACAATTTGAGCTGAGTTTGACGTTGCATGTCATACTCATAAAACCTGGTATGATTAACTATGCGAATGCTACCATCTTCCTTTTATGTTTTTTTTCCACAAAAATATATCTACCAAAAATCACCTAAATCTGAAACATTTTTACCTTTTAAATGGTAGTCATTTTAGTGTTTCTTTACCAAATAATATTCTTCCATTTTCTTTACTATAAATGAATGTCTTAGTGGTTTTGGATTTATTTAATTATTTGTAAGGATGATTTTATATATGGATGATGAGTTTAAATATAGACTGTTCGGATCGTTAAAAAAAATTACAAAGTGGGACTATAAAATGAGTGTCTCCGATACCAACGACATTGTTGGGAAATCCACAATTTCTAGGACATAGTTACTAAAAGCAATTTCCTCAAATAATTTGAAAAAGTAGGTTAATTAGTATGGAAAAAGAGTTAGGATGAACTATATGATGGTGTGCACTGTGGACAATATGCGAATGGTTGAGAAATGTAAAATAATTGAGACAAGTCTCTCTTAATAGTTCATATTGGACTTCTTAACTACTTATGAGATTATTAATAATATATACACACACATATGTGTATATATATATATATATATATATATATATATATTTGCATGGAATCAAGTGTTAAATTCAATTTTCGAGGTCTTATTTATACATATAACATTACATGAGTTCCCATGCATGTATGAATAGATGATAGTTATGCGCATGCAGTTAAGCCTGTGCGGTAGCTTGGCTGGCAAGGGGGTGGAGTATATACTTCGATTATTGGAATTTAAGGAATGGAATAAATTTAAATTATAGAGGAATTTCTAAACCAGAAACAATCATGGTGTTGTGTGACTGATCAATTTGTGTCTTACAATATTCTTTGTATGTGGTTCAATACACTAATGGATAAGATGTTGAGTTTCTAATCATACGTCATGGGTTCGAAATTCTCCAATTTTATAAATTATTGTAATAATTTGAAAATTTTCTCCCTCTTTAAAAATAATAATATCTAATTACTGTCAAGCCTGTGTGCGTGAAGGTCATCATCTTGAATCACACTTCGAAGTACAAACTTGAAATATATACATATACAAATACACATATATATGAAAAGCATACTCACAAATGCATGTCATATCACACACCATTTTTTCTCTCCGCATAATTTTCTTTACTTATGATTATAAAATTGAATGAATCAATATTTTTTTTTTTTAAATGTCGTCGTTATTATTTACCCAAACAGATCACATTCGTTTACTTGAGAAGAATCAAAGGCACATGGTTAAGACAGAAAATTCCTCCATAAAAAGGTCATTCTTGTCACATAAATGTATGTAGAAAAATAATTTAATTTCAACATATTCAATAATAAATACAAGCGAGGTGAAAAAAAACATAAATAAATATAGAACACTAATGAAATGCAGAAAAGAAAATAAATTGATTTCTTGATGGCTTTTGACATATATGATGCATTAGTGGGAGTGTGAGTCTGCTTCTGAAGAGTTCGTTGAGATTTGTGTGATGCTGAAGACTGACTACTTAAGGACTTTGATGTTTGCTCCAAGTTTATTGATAATGTCGGGAAGGTAATTCATTCGGATTCTTTTGCGAAGCATCCTGCTAGCTTGAGAAGGATTTTTTTGCTCGCTACTATGCAGAAGACTTTGCTAGCAGGACGCTTCACAAAGAAATCCAAACGAACTACCTTTCCGACACTGTCAACAAACTTGGCGCAAGCATTAAGGTCCTTAAGCAGGTCAGCCTTCAGCTACACACAAATCTCAGCGAACTCTCCAAAAGCAAACTCGGCGGATTTTTGCTACCACAAATTGGTGCTTTCATAAGTCAGTATCTCTAAAAAGAGTGAGTTTTAAGCTTGTATGCGTAGCAAAAGCTTACCAAAATTTAGTGGAGATGTAGGTATTTATAGGGAAGAGTGGACAGCCATAGGGTTAGGGTTTTGCCCTACACATGGGCAGTTGCGGATCCGGGATTTCAAGATCGGGGGGTCCCAACATAAAAGCTCCAAAAAAAAAAAAAAAAAAAAACTAATTTGGTTCCATATCACTATTTTCTATTGAAGTTGGTTCATTGAATAAACCAAAATTAATCCCAAAGGTAATAAACCAACAAATTCTCCTTAGCAACATAACGCAATTAATGACTCTATAAAGATAAAATTTGTTAATGTAACATATATATTATTAACTAGGAGTTGGAACTAGCGTCTAGGATTAAAAAACTTACATGAATTTGGAAGAAATAAAATTAGGCAACTAAAGGTGGTGGAACGATAAATGGTGGTGGGGAATAGGGTAATTTGGGTTTAAAGTTGGAAGGTTGTGACAATTGGAGCTGGGAATTTTTAAATATAACTAGCACTTGTGTACACACTTTTTTTTTTAAAATGACAAGGAGAGAGGGAGAGAGAGAAAATGGGGGGGGGGGAGGTTTTTGTTTTTGGTTATTTTTTATTTTTTATTTTTTTTATTTTTTATTTTTTTAATATTTGAGGTATTTTAACATCACCTGTAGGTGAGGCTTCAATAAAAAACAGTAAAATTTGGACTTGTGAAATTACATTATTGCCCATCATTTTTTTGTGTGTGATAGAAGACTAAGTAGTCTTTTTACCCTCTTTTGGTTGATAAAGAGAGTTTCATTAATTAATAGAGATTTGGGGATACTGGAAAAGATCGGGGTTCTTGGGCTTTGTAGAGAAAACAGAGATATTTTAGTTTTTAAATTTTTTATAATTACCTGGCTCAAAAACGCTGTGGTTTTGGCTAGGTCTTTTAAAATGAAAATTAAAAACATCTTCTTCTTGCCTACACATTCATGGAGGCAACAAGCCTCTCCACTGCACCTGCCCAAATTGTTGGAGGGTTCCAAAGGTTGATCAAAAGTGTTTATTTGAGCTTCCGAAGGGTCTCAGGACCTCCCAGGTCCCTATATGGATTCGCCAGTGCACATGGCGGCATCCGATTGGCCAATTAGTGTTATCCGTTGGATAAATGAGGAAATAATATTCCCAAGGTATTAATTAGGAGATAATATATTTGGATATTGATGGAAACATCCATAATTGATTATATTAGGATTCCTTACATGATGGAGTTTATCTTGAATTGGAAATGTATTAAAAATAGAATTTAGTAATTAATCATATCTTTAATACCTTTGATTTTTCCATGGCACAAGCAGGGGAGGTTTGAGCAATTGTCGTCACCTCTAGAGATACTAAGTTGCTTGTGAGAATATTTGTATCCCTACCCATTTAATAAGGACATTCTTGTCTTTTTCAAGAAAAAACTAACGTGCCGTCTTCTGAAATTTTTAGATTAATTTTTACTTCACATGGATCACATTTTACTGTTTGCAACCAAAGGAAACAACATTAAGAAAATATACAGAGAGCTACAGAATGTAAGGCTGCAGATCGCATTTTCTCCACAGTCATGAGGATAATACAGATGGTGCATGTTTTATTGTGCAGACATTAGTCAACACGGCTTTGCCCAAGTTCGGATTATGTCTCAAAAGGTACTCATATGGGGTTCACAAAACGTGTTCATAGGCGAATTTGGAAGCACTAATTATTATATTACAATAAGTAGGGGTTTTTTTTTATAACTTTAATTCTTGAAAAATATTGAAATTTAATAAAAATTTGGTATTAGATTACATATTGATTATAGTCTCTTGATTTGTCCTTAATTCAAATTAATTAATGTGTACTTATTTCAATGTTTCCCATTATATTTAACATTTTTCACACACCACATCCCAGGCCCGCTCCACCATCGTAGCACAATATTGTCCGCTTTGGGCCCCGACCACGCCCTCATGGTTTTGTTTCTGGGAACTCACACGAGAACTTCCCAGTAGGTCACCCATCCTGGGATTGCTCTTGCGCGATCTCGCTTAACTTCAGAGTTCCGATGAACTCCGAGCCAGTGAGCTCCCAAAAGGTCTCGTGCTAGGTAGAGGTGAGAATATACATATAAGGCTTGCAGGATCCACTCCCCTGGGAGATATGGGATGTTACAATCCACCCCCCTTAGGGGCCCAACGTCCTCGTCGGCACACTTCCCGCCAGGGATTGGCTCTGATACCAAATTGTCACATCCCGACCCGGGCCCCCACCACATCCCGGGCCCGCTTCACCACCGTAACACGATATTGTCCTCTTTGGGCCCCGACCTCACCCTTACGGTTTTGTTTTTGGGAACTCACACGAGAACTTCACAGTGGATCACCCATCCTGAGATTGCTCTTGCGCAATCTCGCTTAACTTTGGAGTTTCGATGAACTCCAAAGCCAGTGACCTCCCAAAAGGCCTCGTGCTAGATAGAGATGAGAATATACATATAAGGCTTGCAGGATCCACTTCCTTGGGCGATGTGGGATGTTACAATAATTATAATGAAAAATAATTAATACGTTAAAATTAGAAAGAAAAAGAGAAATAATTAAAACATCAAAATATAATGAATAAAGAGAGCTGTTAATCCCACCCCCCCCCCCCCCAATCCTATCTCCCCACCTCTTTATTAATTTATTTTTAATGACAAGTTTACCCCCTATGTCAAATGACGTAAATACCTAAATAATCTAGAACCCTTCTCTCTCCCTCCCTTTTT